GGTAGTCACACCAGAGGGAAGCGTCACAAAACTCGTCAACTTGGATAAAACTGTGGGCATTGTCTCTCGAAAGAGATCGAAATTAAAATTCCTCGAGTTATATATTATCAGATCGATTATCAAATTGATTATCGAATACTAAATCTTACATTTTACATGATCTAGATTATATTAAGCTATCTCCGCGTAACCTAAGTTAATTTTTTAAAATTTTTAAATCACCTTGGATTCTTTAGTGAATTGTAATTTGAAGTAGGCGTTTTGACTTGTAATAATTGTTATCAGTAAAACAATGTAACGCGCATTTGAGTTTGCAAACTCTGTCTCCAATGACAATGCTGGTAATTACAATAATGACCATTGCAAAACTATGTGCAAGTAAAAATTATTTACTTACGATATAGAGATTATACTTACAAATATGATTACCGTCATTTTCAAATATATAAGAGATCACATTGGATGGATTGTAACTAGTGATATTAACCGATCCATCCGGTCTGGTCTAGTTCTAGGACCGAAGTCCCGAGAAAAAAAATTATTGTAAATTTTTATATTTCTAACTGATCTGTTATAATTACAAGAATTTATTAAAATTAATATATTAGTCCTTAAAAAAATAAATTAATATTTTTAATCATATTTATTCTTAAATTGTATATAGACAATTTTATTAAATAATAGTTGTAAAGAGACTTTATAGACTCTATTTATGTTTTGTTTAAGAATTAACATATTTATAAATTTTTTTTTTAACACTGGCAAAAACAAATTAATAATTTGTTTTTTATTATTAAAAAATTTTTTTATTATATAATTTTATTAAAATTTTTTATATCACATATATTATTAAAAAATCGTTATACTTAAAACTTTATTACGTTTTTTAATAAAAAATGTCACCAATAAATTTTGTAATTTTATAAAACTATTAATTCAAACAATTGATTTTTTTTTAATTTTATAACTTGCATAGACAATATTATAAATTATCATAAGTTTTATTTATGGAAATATTTAAAAATAATTTATTGTAAAATATAAATTATAATTGTTTAATAAACCTTTAATTATATTTATAATAATAATAATAAAATATATTTCATGTTAATTTCATTTTTATTATAGAAATAAGAAATATCATTTTAATATAAAAATTAACTTTTGAGTTAATAATAGTATAGTGATTGGTATTTTCAAATCTCTATTATAAAATATTTTTTAAAAAAAATAAAATTAATTAATTAAAGATAAGTATTATTTTTTATATAAAATCATTTTTAATACTAATTTAGCAAATATTGAAATTATAATATTATAGATAAAGTTGATATTATAATAATGACTTGAAATTTGATAATATTTTTTCTTATCTTATATATCTAATTTTTTTTTTTTATTACTGTCAAAATTAAAAATATATTTAATTTATAATTTAAATAAAACTTGTTAAAATAGAAATATATCTTGTTATGATTGACAGTAACAAGCATTTTTCTTTAAATTTAACTTCATTGATAATAATATTGAAATAATAATATTGAAGTTAAAAATCAAATGAATTCATATACAATAAATATAATGTTTGATTATGAAAAAAAAATCGACAGTTGTTTTTTGCCAGTACTGCATATATTTACATATTTATTTTATTTTATTAATGAGTTTATAATAATTGTAAATTCGGGTTACGTTTGTACAGTAATTTCAAATTTTGATATTTGTAATTCACAAGGATTTGTTTTATAAGAATAAAAATCATACTGTATAATTACTATTCTAATATCAGATGATATTCTACTGTATAAAGGGCTTATGATACAGGAGTAATATACTGTATATTTGTTACTTTTAGAAAATTATTCGGGCGCATTGTTTTTCTAGGTAAATAGTTTTAAAGTTGCTGAAAGATCAAATGGAACAAATAAGAGGATCATTGTTAAAGAAAACGGCAAATATTTTGCATGTTTATTTGTGTTGTATGTAGCATTAATAACAACTTTAATAATGAAGACAAATGCATTCAGAGATTTGCAATTGCCTTTGTTTCTCTACAATTGCACCTGCGACGTTTGCCGCATTATTAAAGCGGATCCATCACTAGTCAGGTGATCGCATGCGTAGCGGGAACAAAGAAATTTCTTGTTGTTTCAAGTGGGCGCTAAGCTAAAATTGGGGAGATTTCATTCGGTTCACCTTTCATTCATGCACTCAAGTGTTTCTTATAATGACATGAAGCCTTGGATATAATCACGTTTGGAGGGTCAGATGCATGTGATAATAAACGCTCTATAAAAAACAGCTGTTAAACCAATTAGAGACGCGTATTCGCGTAAGATGATCCGTTGACTATTCAAGATAAAAACTTGAATGTGGATTTTCTCGCAACTAATCTTGACTTTTCGTGTTTCTCCCTTGATTCATTACTTAAACAAAAGTCGATATTACGTGCGAAAAAAATTTTTTCCCCGAACTTTGAGTTTTCAATTAAACAATACAGATATCAATAGGATGCAAGAGACTCTGGATAAAATTCAAATGCACGGTGATTACCCTTGTCAGCAAGTTGACCTAAAAAGTAAATTTGTGTCAGATAGAAACATTTCTTCAAAGGTTTGTGAGCAACATTTTTTTTTCCAAAGAAAAATTTCAAATTTCCTTCACCTTCAAGAATAACAATTCACAAGAATTTGCTTCAAAAAACAAAGTTATCTTCTTCACATGAAATGGCCAGTACGCAGAATTTGCCTCAAAGGTCTTATGAGAGAAATCCAAACTCTGGAATAAATCGTCATCACCACTGTGAGCATTCCCAATGCTTCGGGCAATCAGACCTAGCGCATTTCCACGACGATGTTCGATGCGAAAAATCGGTCCAAACTATATCCAACCGGTTATCGCAACATTATGACCGTGCTTTCAATGAGGGAGACCTCAGAAAAGATAATGATGGTGAACAACTTTGGGAACTTCTTCATAAAGTGAATGAAGCGTTGGAAACGTATAATAAGATTAATCGCAGTCACCGGGGAGAGAAGAGAAGCGTCGAACAGGAATTGATTTTTCAAATTCATGAAATTCTAAAGAGAGAAGAAGACAGAACCTTGTATGCACCAAGAGACGTCGAATTACAGCGGACGGAAAACAGGTTTTCATCTCGTGGCCGCATGCACTTTCAGTCATCAGACCGTTTTTCACGACGTGACGAAGCAACCATCGATGATGGTTTTCACCAAGATGCCTATAGCAATAAGGTAAGTTCCCCTTTCGACAAATAGTCATGTTCCAACCTTCTTTCGACTGACCAAACTGTAACTAACAGAAAGTTCTAATGCCTTCGTTATATATAAGTGCATGCCACCCCGAGGAAATCATGATATTAACGTGCACAAGCGTTGTTTTGGAAATGACGCAGATGTTTTACGTCGAGGTGATTCAAACATGATCGCGGAAGATCGGTTTACGGGAGCATCGCTGGAATATTGGGGAAGACATTCGATTGATAGTGTAGAACACACGTTGTCACATTCCGAATGGTTCGGATCCCCGAAATGGCAACAGAATCAACAAGACTGGTTCAACAATGACATCCAAAATCCCAATCGAATATTATATGAAAACTACGCATACATGTAAAAACTGGTATGGATATATATACTTTTTAATTTGATAAAATATTTGTGAGACAATCATTAGGAATTTTTAATCCACTCATCATGCCTTTTTACTAACTCTGCAATAATCTTTGATTCAATCTCCACCTCACTTGCAATCTCATCATCAGACAACTTTATTTGAAACTCTGTGTCTTTGGTGATGAAGATTACTTCAATCTTACGAGT